GGTTCCCACCCTCTGGGGGTGGGGATAGGGCCCTCGTGGACCTAACATTCCAGCCTTTTTGTTTTATGGAATAGGGATGGTGACTCCATCTTCTATAGCTGCTTCCTACTGAATAGGGGTGGTGGGATCTGTTGAAAAAGGGTTTAGTAGTGGATAGTTGACTGGAATGTGGCATTAACTGGTAGGTTCAGTTGGCTGGAGGGCTTGATAGTGTGGTGTGGAGTGAAGTAGCATGACTTCCGCTATAGTCTGGTTGGTAAACACGTGTAAACGATCTTGGAAGAGGGAAGAAATCTGGCGCAGTATGCAAGGCCCAAAGGCCAAAATGAGAAAAGGTTTGGGGCCCTATGAAGGGTAAGAGCCAGGTAACCCAGATGGTTTTTAGCCAGGTGTCCCAAGAATTTGCTTGGTGCTCTTATCTTGTTGGCCTTGTCCTTTAGCTTTTTAGCTGCATCTCTTACTAGTCCTGATTAGTTAACATAAAAACAACATTCTTCCTCTAGAAAGAGGCAGAGACCTCCTTTTTTGGCTGTCAATAAATCTAGCCCTCGTCTGGTTTGTAAGATGACAGCTGCTAGGAAGTCAGTTTGATCCTGTAATTGAATTCTACTTTTTACAGTCTCATCTAGGCTTTCTTGGAGATCATTGGACAATGCTTCGAAATAGGATAGAGCAGTGGCAAGTCCCCCAATGCCTATGCTTAGTCCAGTAGTGACCCCCAGTGTAACCAACGGTGGGATGACCTGAATAACCCTTTTATGTTTTATGTAGTGTATGAGGGAAATTGGTAAGGTCTGGTTATTGGGGGCTATTATCTATATTTAGAGAGAAAGTACAAGTTCCAGTCCAGTTGGTTGGAAGGCAGAGATAAGTGCTAGTCCTGCATAGAAAGAAGACCCCTCTGTCAGGTATACAAGTAGAAACATGTATGGATAACAAATGAATAAGAGAATAGATTGTTCCAGTGTGTCCTCTCTGAGGCTCGGAACTTCAGGCCATAAGAGTTGTAGCTATAGCAGCTCCAATCAAGGGGGATATATGTGAAGGAGATTAGTAGGTCTGCAATGAAAGTGTTGGGGAACTGCAGAGACAGTCATAATCCAAGGAAAGAAGGTGGAATATGGAACAGTTGTAAGAGGTTGCAAGGACTTTAGGGTAACCTATGAAGCAGACAGGTTGTAGAAAGAGGCCATTAACCTCTGGAGAGACTTGGTAGTCTATCCGTTGAGTTCAGTGTTCATCGGATAGTTGGATTGTGACTGTCTGATTGTATAGACTGGAGGGTAGGTGTCCTGCAGATATATTGCTACCAGTTCTTGTGAAACAAAGGGGAGTCTTGGAAATCAAAGGGTTATAAAGGGTAGTGGGTCCTATTACTGGTATGGAGGGATGTGCTACCTTTGCAAAGGATTGGGCATAGGTGTGGAAGAGAGTAGAAGCTTGATTAGCCTGTGCTTTGGAGTAACTTCCAAGGAGAGTATCTGTCCTTTCAAGGAAAATGGAGCCTTTTTCTTTTTGATGCGAAAAGGTCATTTGAATGTGGTCCCGTTTGGTGAGGGAAATGGGGAGGTCAGAATATGCTGAGGAAGAGAGGGAAAGGCAGAACCAACAGTCCTTGGCTAATGTGGGGTTGGATTTATTGAGGAGGGAATGGATGAGATTGAGAGAATGCTCAAGATTGGTGGTAGTGAGAAAGCTCTGCAGGAAAGCAGAAGAGGAAGTAGATGATTGGTAGGAAATAGACTAGGAATGAGTGACTGAAAGGAGTTACGAGTAAGAGACAATTTCAGGAGGATGTGGCTAAAGGCTTGGAGACAAGACTATCAACCCCCACAGTGGAGATTTGAGAGGGGCAGGCAGGACCTGCAAATTCAGTAAGGCAGAGTAAGTGGCCCCCGTATCAATAAGAAAGGAGATTGGCTTACCTGTTACTAGTAGAGTTACCTTGGGCTCTGAAGGAGTAATAGGCGTGGGGGCTGAGGGGCCCAGGCACCCTCAGTCTTCAGTGGTGAGGCCTAGAAGGCTGGGCAGACTGAGGTTGTTCCAACTTTTCAAAGGGAAGAGATGTGACCCTCTCTTGACGGAGTAGGGATAGGGCCCTCCTGGACATAACAGTTGGGTTGTTGTGAAGGTTCAATAAGTTAACACATTAATATATTTAGAACAGTATCTGAACCTCAATATGTATTTGTTATGCTAGTCAGATCTTGGCACTAATTTTGGCTTCATGATCAAACCTGGTGTCTCTCTATGGAGGACTTGTACTGGTTTGGGCTGCTGTCATGAAGTTAGAGAGATGAGGCACAGCTTTTAGATAGTATATACTGCATATAGTGAAAATATCCTCGATCTATTTAAAGTGATGTTATAGTGCCAATGATTTCCTGTTTGCAGCTGCAATTATTTTCTTTGCTGTTGAGTGGCAATAATAATAATAATGCTTCTTGAGCATATTTTATGTGCCTGCACTGTTGTGAGTGCTTTAAATGTATTAACTAATTTTCATAACAACCTTGTGAAGTAGATACTATTATCCCCATTTTACAGATGAGTAAATAGAGGTGCAGAGTGGTTAAGTAATTTGCTCAAGGTCACCCACCCAGTAAGTGGCAAATCTGGGATTTGAATGCAGGCAGTCAGGCTTTGGCAATTGAG